ACATATAAATAACGATTATTTAAATTATAAAAATGAAATCTTTTAACGATTAATACAGTTGAAAATATTTTAAAATAAATAGAATATGAAGAAAAAAAGTTTCGACAATTAATATGTTGAAAACATTTTAATGTAAAATAAGAACCAGAAAAAAAAAAGATAAATATGAAGGATGGTTTTCCATTAAACTTGGTTTCTCAAGATTCCATGAGGAATGATTGTTGTCAACCAAACTCTAAAACAATTGTCAAAAACATAGTGTTGGTTCTATTGAGAAAAAAACTAAAGAAAAATGTAAAAAGACATTAGTTAAAAAAAAACTCTAAAATCCCAACAAAATTAAGAAGAATTGCATACTTGAATTAATCGTCTCAAAATGAAAAACAAATCAAGTGATAGAGATGAAGAAAAAGAGATTGAATGATAAACAATTCACGAAAAAAACTTAGGAAAAATAAAAAGATTGTGTTAAATGTAAACATAAATAAATAATCAATGTTCATAGAAATTAGAATGTGAAATTAAATAAAAAAGATTAAAGGTGGAAGGTTGAAAAAAAAAGACAAATAAATTTCTAATTTTAAGAGAAGCCAAGTCATCAATCTTAGTTTCTCCTTTAATATAGATTATTCAAAGCAAATAAATAAATATAATTCAAACTTAAAATAAACAACCAAAAATTATAACCCTCGAATTTATATAAAAATAAAATCAACCAAATACACCCACAACTCTTTTGGACCTACCATATATTATTTATTATTTTAAACATAAAATAAATTGGTCGAAAATAATAGACATAAAGAAGCCACAATAAAAAACGATAATCAACAAATTTTTGAAAACAACGAGATACACACGGACTAACCAAATCAAGATTAATCATAAATCCATACTGAAATCAGCTCAAGAGTCACGACCCACCAGGACTGGGCCCAAAACCAAAAACTTAAATCGTTTAGGGTTCAACCAGGTTACCGTCCAAAATCATATAGGTCGCTGCCATCAGGTCAAGTAAGGATGGTGATTTGCCCCGACCCGATGGGGAACCCGGCTCACCCGACCCAAACGGGGACAAAGATTCCCTGCTAAAACGGGTCCCGAGGCTGGGGTCAGGGATCCCTGGTAGGCTCAAACCGGGAACAAGGCCGGGGGATGTAACTCAAATCGGGGTCGGGAATCCCCGGTAGACTCAAACTAACGGATATTCTTCATGGGGTTTGATAGGGAACGGGATGTTAATCCCCGTACCCGCCAGGGACCGGGGCCGGGGGCTATTACTAAAAACCGGGGCCAGGATTGGGGATTACAAAACCCGCACCATCCCAACCCCGTTGTCATGCCTAAGGTCAAGACCTTGGTGTCGTGATGGATCACACCAGCCGAAGGCAAAGACGGCACAAAACACAGTAGTGGCTGTGGGTGAATACGGCTCCAATCAAAAAAGGGGCGGCAGCACCGAGCGGGTGGCCGCAGTAACCACAGACGGGCGGAGAGAGCCCTGGCGGAATGAACYGAGCACCAAGCCCAGCAGTAGTGTCGGGCGCATGTGGCTCGAACTGTGACCCCGAGGTAGCGACCCGAAGACGTCAGGTCGTGAACGRCATCAGCCATGMGTGTGRCAGGGCAGCARCCGTGATCAGTGAAGAAGGCAACAGTAGTCGTGAAAGGCAAGGCAACAGCAGTTATAACCGGTGAGAAGGCAACAGCCTGTGAACGACGAGGCGTGGCACTGACTGCASGTACTGCAGCGGCGCATCCCCGGAAAGAGGCGACAGCAGCTCACCTGTGGTGCAAGAGATGRYGCGGCAACGGCTGGGCCACGGTACGACAGGCCCGACACACAACACTTGAGCCTAAACCCTAGCGTCCGTTGCCAGCCATAAAGAATAAAAACATAAATCCCGTTTTTCCAAACTTTTCGTTTTAGTTTCTTTTCTGATTGTTTGTTTCAATTAGTCAAAGTGGCTCTAATACCATTACCACTGTAGGATTTTAAAACAATTTTGTAACCATCAAAAGGCAGCAGAAAATTATACATAGTTTAAAGAACTTTTCTAAAATTAAAACCGTTAGCCGGATCTAATGACTATTAAAATTAGAACAAGCTAAACAACCATAGGGYGTTTAGAGACATTACCTTTAAGATCTTTGATGTGAGTTCTGGCGGGACACTTAGAAATCAAGTCAGGTTTCCTCTATTGCTTCCTTGTTCTTATGTTGATCGGAAACCCAAATGACAGGAAATAGCCGGACCAAGTTCAAAACTGGTTTGAACATCAATTTTGGCACCATGACAAACTGGTCTTAATCTACAATTCTAGAAGCAAAAGACCAATAGCATTACTAGGATTGGAGATGAATACCAGGCAAAAATCCTATCAGTTGCAAACGCTTATTTTCCGTCATCAAAGAAAGGATTTCTGCCTGGTATTGGCCTCCAATTCTAGGAGTCTTTTGAGGTTCTCCATAAATGTTACCGGCAGTATAAGATTGTTCCGTTTGGACCCAGACCCAACAGCATCCATATATGGTTATCCATCTGATCGACAATCAAACATGGAAAGGATGATGTGAGCTACAAGTTTCAATTAGATCATGGTCTTAATTGTATGAACACCAAAAGCCTAAAAAGGTCAAAAGTACATGGATATCCAGTTCAAATCCAAGAAGGAATAAAATATCCCCTTAATGTGGTGACTCCAGGCTACCTGCAAAGCAATCAGGTGGTCGCCCGCATAGCGGGTTGGATATCCAGGTTAATCGGGAAAAAAAGCCTAACCATATGGCTAGATGTCATATTTAAATAACAAACTACCTAAAAGAACATCATTTCTTAATCGAGTTGGCATACATACACCCAATTTCATATGCTGTAAATTAGTTATGACCGGAAAAAAAAAAAGCAGGTTATGAGGGTTATCGGTATGAGGCAAAAAGAAAACACATATTCTCAGAATTCGTTATTTCAAAAGTTCCATTGATAAGAAGCTTGTGTGATAAGGGTGTCTTTCTTCGTAGTTTTTAAGAGCATTGAACTAAACTATTATCATGTTGCTAAGAATGAACCTCAATCATAATGTTGTGACCATGGTGATGGTTTAGTTACGCCCATGATTTATGTTTTCTTTTTATGTTTAGCAATATAATGAGATAAGATAAAAGGATTCATTGAAACAAAATAAATAAACAAAAAGGAAGAGTGAACCTCACACCAATGATAATAGTCAAATGTCATCAGAATATTCAGCATGAGGATTCTTCTAGTTCTCATCAAACAAGAACAACAAACCTAAAGGCAAGCAGTTTGTAAAAAA